CCCTCTAACAGGTGTAAGGTGGTATCTCATTGTAGTTTTGATTTATTTCCCTAATTGCCAGTGAGATTGAACATCTTTTCATATATCCATTGGTTGTTCATATGTCTTCTTGGAAGAGGTGTATTTTCAGGTCCTCTACCAAATTTTTGATTGGGTTGTTCCTTTGATGTTGAGTTTTATGAGTTCTTTATATACTTTGGAAATTAAACCTTTGTCAGAGCTACTGTTTGCAAATATTATCTCCCATATGGTGGGCTGCCTCTTTGTTTTCTTGTCAGTTTATTTTGTATGATTTCACTCATATGTGGGATATAAAACTGAAACTCATGAACACAAAAAACAATGTGGTGATTGCCAGAGGGAAGGGGGTTGGGGAGAAAGGGTTCCTAATATAAGCTGACAGAAGATTTGATTTTCAGTGGTGGGCATATGGTGCAATATACAGATCTTATAACATAGAAACACACACCTAAAACCTATATGTTCATGTTGACCAATATCATCCTAATCAACTTAATCAATAAATACTTAAAAATGTATATACTACCCAAAACAATCTATAGATTCAATGCAATTCCTATTAAAATACCAATGGCATATTTTACAGATCTAGGACAAATATTCAAAAAATTTATATGAGACCACAAAGGACCCAAAATGTCCTCAGAAATCTTGAGAAAAAAAGAACAAAGTTGGAGGTACCACTATACCTGACATCAATTTCTATCAAAGCTGACTAGTACTGGTATAAGAATAGACATATAGATCAATGGAATAAAACATAGAGCCCAGAAATAAACCCACACCATTATGGTCAATTAATATTTCACAAAGGAGGCAAGATCATAGAATGGAGTAAAGACAGTTCCTTCAATAAATGGCGGGAAAATTGGACAGGTACAAGAAAAGATAGGCAGTACAATCTCAGACATCTCTCATAGCAATATTTTTGCCAATATACCTCCTCAGGCAAAGGAAACAAAGGGAAAAAATAACAGGTGGTACTACATCAAACTAAAATGCTTTTGAATAGCAAAGGAAACCATTAACAAAATGAAAAGGGAGCCCACTGAATGGGAGAACATATTTGCCAAGGATACATTTGATAAGGGGTTTATTTCCAAAATATATAAAGAGCCTATACAACTCAACACTAAAATGACAACCCAATTAACAAATGGGCAAAGGACCTGAACAGACACTTCTCCAAAGAGATCATACAGATGGCCAATGGACATATGATAAAATGCTCAACGTCACCAATGATCAGAGGGATGAAAATTAAAACCACACATCACACCTACCAGAGTGTCTACCATCAATAAATTAACAAACAGCAAATGCTGGCAAAGATGTGGGAAAAAGGGAATCCTGCTGTAATTTTGTTGGGAATGAAGACGGGTGCAGCCACTGTGGAAAACAGTATGGAGTTTCCTCAATAAATTAAAAATGAAACTGTCTTTTGACTGAAGGATCCCACTTCTAGGAATATATCTGAAGAAACTTGCAACACTAACTTGAAAGAATATATGCACTTCTATATTCATTGCAGTGTTATTTACAATAGCCAAGATCTGGAAACAGCCCAGTGCCCATCAGTAGATGAGTGGATAAAACACACACACACACACACAAAAAAAATAACAACAACAACAATAAACCCCTGTGGTACATTTACACAATGGACTACTTCTCGGTCATAAAAAAGAAGGATATCTTACCTTTTGCAACAGCGTGGATGGACCTGGAGATTATTTTGCTAAATATAATAAGCCAGTCAGAGAATGACAAATACCGTATGATCTCACTTATATGTTGAATCTAATGAATAAAGTAAACTGATGAACAAAACAGAAGCAGAGGCATGGATACAGATACATCAAGCAGACTGACAGATGTCAGAGGGGAGAGGGTGGGAGGACTGGAAGTAAATAGGTAAAGGGATGAGACACAGACAGCAATGTGCTGATAGCCAGGGGGAAAGAGGGATGGGCTAGGTGGAGTTGGGCAAAGGGAGGGAAATTGAGATGGAAAGAGATTTTGCTTTGGGAAGTGGGCACATGATGCAGTGAGATGATGTCTTGTTGAGGTATACACTTGAAACCTGTATAGTTTTGTAAGCCAATATCACACCAATAAATTCAACTTAATAAATAAATAAATTTATAAAATTACCTATGGCAACCCAAAGATTTTATGAAATTTTGACATATCTGCAACATGAGCAGGTAGTCTGAATTACTCATTAAAAAAAGAAATGATTTTGGCAACATCCATGTACTTTTGAGAGTGCTTCTTGTATTGAAGATATTATATGCTTCTGCTTATTAAAAAATGATTTTTTGAACAGCACCTCTATATATCAACAACAGAGATAGCTCATTACATTTCTATTTTGTGCACTTTGGGAACTTCCAAGACTTCTGTTTCTTTAATATGCTCTGCTCTCATATGCTGTATAGAAGAATCTGCTCTAAATCTTTGATACAAACTTTATCCAAGGCAGTGCATGGCCACAATATTTGATTAATCATAATATACAGTATTGACACTATTCAGTGAAAGTGTTGAGAAAGAGCAATCTAAGATATATTTCCATGATTTTCTTTGGCTTAGTATCTACATAAAACTATGGCTTAGTTTGATAATTCAGTAAATATTATTACAGCCCATGTCCACTGAAGGTGCACTTTGCAACATTATTATTGTTTTTATTTATTGTGTGATATATTGAATAAAAATGTGTACTAAGCCAGTAGACTGGGGAAAGTTTTATTTGTCATCCTCGAAGATATTTAGTCCTAGTAAGTTAGCTTTATATCTTTTAATAGAAGGAGTAAATCTTTATATTTTTCATGTGTGGAATGTGTAACTCCCATAATACTCTGATTCCCAAAGTACTATCCAATGTTCACTTTGGGAACACATGTACTAAAATTGGAATGATACAGAGGAGACTAGTGTATCCCCTGTGCAAGGATGACACTCAAAGCACACTTGTGATACTCAATGAATATTAATTGCTTGCTTGATAACAAAAACCTTTCTTGTGTTGTCTGTTCAGGCCTCAAGCATAGTAAGGTGATTGTGAAAAAGGCAGAATAGTTTTGATGTTCCAGAATTAGTGAGATAATTTAGTACAGAGACATTTCTTGAATTGCTGATGTCAGAAAATTTGACATGTTTCCATAGTCCATCATTTGTTCCCATTACCTTGAACACAGACTAAGGAAAGCACAATGCAACTGTCCAGTTTTCCTCCTGTTTAATTGGAAGGAGGAAAAAGGAATTAATAATATTTCTCACTACTCAGAAGATAGAGAAAGTCATGGTCAGAACTGTTGAGGTCTAATGTTAGGATAAAGAACTGTAGAGGTTTAATGTCTATAACTTAAAATCATGTAGTTGTTTACATGTGTTTATGGTAATTACTTGGCTGAATGTATGACTAATCTTACAAACATAATGAGAGTTTGTTTTTCCCTCCAGGATTTAGTAATGTGGTTATATAGTCTTAATTTGTCATTGTACCTTTATTTTTTGAAATAGAAATATATTTGAAAATTTTGTTACTAAACATAAAGGGAGTTGATTGCATGCAACATTACAGTATTTAAGTATATACACAGGAGATCAGGAGACTGTCTTCAATATGTATCAACTCTCTAGCTCCCTCAGTTACTAAAATCTAGTTATTCAGAAATAACATTAGAGGTACAAGTTACTTTGGGTCTTCTGTAGAATCAATGTGCATAAAATATATCTCTGTCATGTATTAGTCAGTTCACCTGTCTAATGAAATCACTTGAGAACTGTGAGCATAAGATTTAAATTATAAGTGAATAAATTCTGTCACTGGTTTAGCAATTATGCAAAAGTATGACTGCATTCAGCAATCCATTGACTATTAATGAAGCTTTTAATAATCTACTGGCTAGGCTGTCTCTTTAGCAAAATCTGACCTTTAAATGGCTATTATTTTTAAGTTGTTTTATCTTGTATTTTCATAGCACTGTTTTTCTTTTGAGGCACATTAAGTACTTTCTTAGTTTTGGAAAACACAGAGACATTTCCAGGAAAATAATCTTAAAAATTTAAAATAGAAATATGTAATTAATTTCAGTTTAAACCAACCAAAAATTATATGGAGACCATAGTCATTAAATAACTTGTTTGCTGAATTTATTATCTTTTCCTCCAAGCTCATTAAGAAAGAGTCCAGCGAAGGCTAAGGTCTCAATTAATTTTAATGGGCATGACGAAGGTTTAATAAAGTATGTGGTTTAATTGCCTGAGATTAGGCTAAATCGCAGCCTTAGTTTGTTATTGATAGTTTGATCAAGAGGTACAAATCGTTTTCTAAGAAAAATTGATAAAGCTGGTAACTTATGAAAAAGAGCATTGGTTTGTCTAGCTAAACTATTTATTAACATGAACTTCAAAAATAGATAAAGAAAACTGGCCACTAACTAAACATTACAGAACAAGTTTTCAAATACAAATGTTGATACAGCTCTGGCAGGTGGTGGACACCAAAACCATCTGCTGTCACATTGTTTGTGACTATTTAGGTAAACCATCCAAGGCTCTTAATAACTATGTCATGGATGGCAAGCAGTATAATGTAAAAGCTGTCCAAAATGGCATTCTTGTAGCCCTGAATCATTAAACCAGCCAGTTTGGTGGGACAAAGGTGTTTCTTTTTCAAAATGGTATTGGGTAAATAATATTTTATTTTGAGAGGTTTTTGGCTTGGTTCAAGTAGTGTTGGCCAGTTGCCAATAAGATGAATGCTGTAATGAATAGATTCATCCTCAGTGCTATTAGCTAAGTAAAATTGCTTGAGCATTTCAGATGTTTTGGAAAGCTCAACCCCATGAATTGTAGGAAAAGAACATAGCTTAATCAAAAGATTCCTACTTCATTCTTAGTAGATTAGCATATTAACTGTCATATAATTTCAGTGAAAGGAACAACACACCTCTTCTGAAAGCCAATAGGGAAGTTTTATTTTATTTAATAGTTCATGAATTTTCACTACTAAAAGTATGTTATTTAACTATTTCTTCAATAAACTAACATACTTAGCTCAGTTGTTCAGAACACAGTTATAATGAAACCACGGTTCTGTGTGAATGTGTTTGTATGCATATGGGTGTTTGGGGTGTGGTGGGTAATTTTATGTGTCAAGCTGCCTAGGGTTTGGTGCCCAATTGTTTGGTCAAACACTTGTCTAAATATTACTGTGAAGTTATTTTATATGTCATTAAAATTTACAATTGGTTGGGTTGACTTTAAAACAGATTACCCTCCATAATGTGAGTGGACCTCATTTACTCAGCACAAGGCCTTATGAGCAAAGGCTGAGGTTTCCCAAAGGAGAAATTTTGCCTCAAGACCACAGCATAGAAATCATACCCGAGTTTCCACTCTACCTGTACTATGAATTTTAGACTCAAAACTGCAACATCAACACTTACCTGAATTGCCATGTTGCTGGCCAGTTCTACAGATTTCAGACTTGCCATGCTCCATAATCACATGATCATATGATCTAGTTTCTTGAAATAAATCAATCTCTCTTAATAGATATACAAGGATACATATAGATATATATCCTGTTGGTTCTATCTATTGGGAGAACCCTTACTGATACATGGGTCATGCTAACTTGGTCCTAGATATATACCTGACAAAGGAGGCATTTTATCCAAAGGGAAGAACATGTGAATATGGATAGCATGATTTAAACCAACAACCACTGAAAAATGTCAGTGTTCTTGTTCTTCCTACAGAGGACCTGGGATGGGAAGGAGATAAAAAGTACAATAAAAAACAAAAGATTTTAAAAATAACCTCAACTCTAAAGTAAATGAGATTTTTCTCATCATCATTCATTGTCTCAAGAAAAGCACAAAATTCAACTTTGATGACTAACAGAGAGTCTAGTAAAGAAGACTGTTATGTTTGGTAATATCCAGCATACCTGTACCTGACACTCACATTATTAAGGAAATTTCTGCCTTGGGCTTATTCAACTACTTATTATGACTTTCACAATGCCTGGGACTTATTTTGAATTGACATCCATATCCAACTTGCCTTGGCAAACAAACAGGCACAAAGATTAATTAGGTTGTAGGCACTTTATATTCCAGGACTGTGACTTTTCTAGCTGGTGGCATAGTTAGTGCAGTGGACTTGTATTATTTTTCACCAACTGTGACAGTGCCAAATATGTGTACCTGTATGTTGGTGTGTATTCTTTTTTCGTGCTCAGGCTGAGCTTGGTAATGACTACAGAGTCAACACAACTAGTTGGAAATGATGTATGAAATTTAAACATTTTTGGCCAGTACATTCAGAGAATTCAGAGTAGGGAGGAAATGCTGTATAGAGCTGCTCTGTAGTTTATTCATGAATATCTCAATATGCTGCCAAATCAAGGAGAAGACTGAAACCCATCAAATTTGGGAGGATTAAACTTTCCTTTATTGCAGTCTAGTCTTCCTTGTTTATGTTTGACTTTTTCCTTAAATTTATTTTAAAAACCTGATAGATGCCTTAATTCTGAAAACTAAATAAACAATTAAACTTAAATCTCTAGAGACAAGTGGGGAAATACAGTATGTGGAATATTTTCCAGGTGCAATTCATTTCATGCCAGGGAGGTTTTTCTCACTATGTTCCCTGCTATGTGTCTACTAACTAGTCCCTATACTCCCAGTTGTCTTATTTTCCTTTCCTTTGTGTTTTTGTGTATAATTAATGCTAATGCAGAATATGTTAAATTGTTACCTGTTGATTCAGTAAATTGAATGAAATAAGCATTCATTTTGTGCAGAACAGAAGAGAGTCAACTAGTTATTTCATTGAATCACTAGTCTCCTTAGTCTAAATTCAGGTGAGTATATTTTGGGAGAGTTTACTTTGTGATATCTCAGAATATGATAGTGGTTAAGAGTTCCAAACTGGAGACAGGTTGCCAGGGTTTGAATTTTTGTTCCAATCTTTACTATGTGTTGTTGGTAAAATCATTTATACTTTCTGTGCCTCCTCCCTTCCACTTATAAAATTATCATATTCTAGTACTTGTACCCTTATTGTGAAAAGTAATATTTTGAAGATTAAGTGAGAAGATAAATATGACACATTTTGAAGAATGCCTGATAAGTAAAGAGAGCCAAGTCATAAGTGGATTTCTTTATTTCCATCTTTCCCCCACAATTTTTTGAGGTATAATTGAAAAATACTTAATGTGTACAACGTGATAATTTAATATATGCATACAGTGTGAAATAATTACAATAACCAAGTTAGCTAACACATCCATCACCTCATATAGTTATCATTATTTTTTTGGTGATAATTCTTCAAATCTACTCTCAGCAAATTTCATGTATACAGTATACTGTTAATAACTATAATCCCCATGCTGTACATTAAATCCTCAGAATTTATTTATAACTGAACATTTTTACTGTTTGACTAACATCCCCATTTCTCCTATGTCCCAACCCTTGGAAACCACCATTCTATTTTTTTTTCTATGAGTTCAACTTTTTTTTCTTATTATTCTTACTAGAGGCCCAGTGCACGAAATCTGTGCACTGGAGGGTGTCCATCAGACCAGCCTGCACCCTCTCCAATCTGGGACTCCTCAGGGGTCCCTGTGGGATCAGGCCTAAACTCACAGTCGGACATCCTTCTCACAATCTGGGACTGCTGGCTCTTAACCACTTGCATGCCTGCCTGCCTGATTGCCCCTACCTGCTTCTGCCTCCCAGCCTGATCACCCCCTAACTTCTCTCCTGCTGGCCTGATTGATGCCTAACTGCTCCCCTGCCTGCCTGATCATCCCCAACTGCCCTCCCTTGCCAGCCTGATTGCTTACAACTGCCCTCTCCTGCTGGCCTGATCGCCCCCAACTGCTGTCCCCTGCTGGCCATCTTGTGATGACATGGGGGTGGCTATCTTGTGATAATATGAGGGTGGCCATCTTGTGGCAGCCATCTTGTGATGGCATTGGGGCAGCCATCTTGTGACAACATGGGACAGCCATCTTGTGATGATGTGGGGTGGCCTTCTTGTTATGACGTGGGGGTGGCCATCTTGTGGCAGCCATCTGTGACCGTGTGGGGGCAGCCATCTTGTGAAGATGCGAGAGCATGAGAGTCAATTTGCATGTTACCTCTTTATTATATAGGATTATCTTCTTCTAATACAGTGGTTCTCAACCTGTGGGTCACGACCTCTTTGGGGGTCGAACGACCCTTTCACAGGGGTCACCTAAGACCATCGGATAACATATATAATTACATACTGTTTTTGTGAATAATCACTATGCTTTAATTATGTTCAATTTCTAACAATGAAAATACATCCTGCATATCAGATATTTACATTACGATTCACAACAGTAGCAAAATTACAGTTATGAAGTAGCAACGAAAATAATTTTATGGTTAGGGGTCACCACAATGTGAGGAACTGTATTAAAGGGTTGGGGCATTAGGAAGGTTGAGAACCACTGTTCTAATACAATCCTAGGAAGTATGAACAATAGCAAAGAACATAGGCACAGGAAAAGGGAGCTCTTCGCAGAATCTTGGTTCTACTTTAAACCTCTATATGGCTACTATAAGTGTATTAAACAAAGGGTAGTGACACTTGATATTTTACTTTTTTTCTGAGTTACAGAGAATGTGATAATGAATTTAATGTTGCTAATGGTTGTTATATTTAAGCTTTTTGTGACTTTTTGAATGTAATAATATTGCTTCAAAGGGATATGACAGAAGCTGAGATTGGATATGTTTGAAATCTATACATTTATAAATATTATTGTACCATGCATAACAGATTACATCATCAAATCCCTGAACTTTAAAATTAAGGAGCATGCTTTGGAAAACTCAATAATCCTATATTTCATATAGCAAGTATTAACCTCATAAAATTTATTATACAAAGAGACCCCACAGGATAAAAACACATATTTATTATATTTTTAGTAAATTTATAAATTTTAAAGACAATGACATTTTAAGGAAAATTATAATGAAATCAAAACATATGCTCTTCCACAACATGGCCAGATAGAGCATTTATACCACAATCTTCATGAATGATGGTGAAGATATAGTATGTCTACATTAATATAGCAGAGGAATTTAATGCAAATTTTCAAACATTTTTTTCTTAAAATAAATGTAACATTTGTCATGCATTAAAAGTCATTGTCAAAAACAATATAATTGGAGAAGGACAAAATGGTGGCAGAATAGATGGACGTCCCAAACCTTGTCCAGGAGCAGATAGAATGAGTAGCTGAATCAAATAACATCCATCCCAAATTGGCAAAGGAGACACAGCTGGTGAGACAATCTGCATCTGCGAAGTGCAGAGGACACCTGGAGAACGGTAAAACCAAGGATCTGGGCTGGAGAGAACTGTGAGACCTCTGATCCCAAAGGATCAGAGGCAAGCCACACGGCACTGAGCCATGTCCCTTGGGACAGGCAGAGTGTCTGACTGTGGAAAGGAGGTCCGCAGGACTGCTGGTGGCAGAGGATTCTAGATCTGTGTCCATAGTTATGAAAGACTGAGCCCAGAGGGGGAAGCCTGGAGGGCAGCCCAGACTGCACAGTGCCAGCAGGAGAGGGGCTCTCAGAGATGCAGCTCTTTCCCCTCTTTGTGGTATTTGCTTTTCTTTGCTTAACCTAGTACATAGGACTTTTTGGATACAGACACTCATGTGTGGCTGAGGTGCAGGAGAAGGTGTGGACTTGTGGAGTCTGGGGAGAGGCTGGGGTGAGGAGAGGACCCAGGAGCAGCAGCCACAAGTCTGACTGTGAGTCATACCTGACCTGCAGGACCTAGGTAGCCATTTTCTTCTGAAGAGATAGCCCCTCCATGCAGTCTTCAGGCAGCCAAAACAGCCACACCCAGACTACACCATGAAGGGCAAAAAGGATACAAAATAAAATGTGAATAATACCTCAAAGTCCACAGGGACTAGCCTAAAGAGAGTTCTTCAATCCCAGCAACAGGAAACTGAGAAGTCACAGACAATACAGAAGAGTGGAAATTTAAACCAGCCAAAGGAAGGACACTTCACTTTTTCATATTTATTTTATTTTATTATTATTTTGTTATCT